GTTGTTAGAACATACTCTTTAATGATCTAGAAGATTAATTAGACATGGCAAAATCGGCTAACCAATTATTTAAGATGGCATGACTTTGATGCATTTCAGCAGAATTTAAATTAAAAAAAGCAGGTAAACTCATTGGCAGGTGAGAATTAAAACAATTAATAACTTTCAGGGTGGTACAAGTCATGGTAAACTGAACAGGCTGTGCACAGGTTCTGCAGGGTTCCCTAAAAAAAATCAAGAACAGACTCAGAAGGCACCATGACAGCATCCGCTCAGTGCCTAGCAACAGTTTGGAAAGCCAAGAAAATGTTTAGTCACATTCATACAACAGGATGCAAAAGGAGGACACAGAATTTAAAATTTGCCTCTCCAGTAAAACGCTGAATTTTGTTAACTTCCTTAAAAGAAACCTTTCAGAGGAAAGTAAAAATGCTAAAAGCATACAAGCAGCATACAAAGGATTGGGATTCTCTGATGATTCTCTCATTCAAGACCTATTCTCCTTATCAATCCATTAAGTCTTCCAAGAACCATGTCCTCCTTTCCTGAGACCCTGCCTTTCCCAGAGCTGTGTGAGCACAAATATTTGCATCCAGTAAGTATGATAAAATGATAAAGTTTTCTCTATGAAAGAACTAGATTTTTTTCTCTTGTGAGTATGTTCAAGGAAAAAGAAGTAAAATTCCCTGGAGGCATACAGTTCTGTGAGTGAGCTTTCTCTGGCAGAGACCGTAGGGTCTCCCAGAACCCTTTCATTATGATGAACAGGGAAAGAAAGTGTGGTCACAAAGGCTTAACATCACCCAAGCAGCTTCAAAGAATAGGTCTGATACTGAACATCACAGGCCATGGGGAGACTGCAAGCAAAACAACACAGGAGAAACTCCATGACAGCATGGGATTCCCACTGTCAAGCTGTCTCCTCATCCTATCTTTTATGATTGCAGGCACCACTTGCAAACTTCAAGCTGATGGATTACATCTTAAATGGGGTCAAAAGAAGCACAGAACAATTAGTGGTATTAGTGTGGCACTGCCCTCTGAACCATTAATCTTAGAGCAGGGGCAACAGTCAACAATATTGAAAACAACACACATTTCAAATCCCTCCTGTATATAATCAAATTCTGAAATCCACTAATATGAGATATTAGTAAACTAAGCTGTTATGTAAAATTATATAGAAGACTTGATATTTACATCAATTGAAATAGCATTCATAGTTGTATTTGCCTGATTAGAGTCACGAGGACACTAATTCTCATCCTGAAAAGCAGAAGCTGATTGCCAGCTGGGATTATGAAAGAATTCCATCTCTTTCCTTTGCCTCACAGGCTATCAGAGTACATCTGCTGGGTACTGATTATCTTTCTAGAAAACATTATAAGAAAATATAATTTAATTTATTGTCACTGTGGAAGTCAAACTGGTTGAGCCAATGATCTTTTATTATGATATGATGACTCTGCTGGATAATCCAATACCGCAAACAATGGATAAAATAATTGCAGATACTTATGTTTGTTCTTCTTTCACCTCCTCTCAGCCTCACCTATAACAGTTCAAAAGGTAAAAGCCATGTCTTCATTTTCACAAATTCTTTACTATGTCAGCTACAGACAGTCTGGATGCATTTTTTCTGGTTGAAAAATTGCAAAAATCTATTCTAGGTCAATGACTTCCACTGTCAGTATCATTCAAGGTGTTCAGAAGGCTCAAAGGAGAAAAATAAATCACTAAGTATTGGTATTATGCAAGCTGTCTGAAGAGGTATTGACTGCATTTATTGCAAAGAATTATGAAGTGGCTTTAATATCATTCTATTCATGAGTGTCCTTTCTTTGCAACTGATCTCACATACTAAACCCTGCTATAAAAACCAGCATGCACTTTGACTAGATTAAGGACAAAACAATTTCAGATACCTAATGCTGTGGGATATAAATGTGAAGTAATGCCACTGAAAGGCACACAGATCTCTGTGTGTACAGGACACCAGGCAGAAGAAAGGCACAGATTCTGTATGCTATGATCACAAAGATAACTATGCCTATTAAAGCAGTTCTATGAACCCCATCAGGCTGACACTACTGAACAGCAGATATGTGAATGTGATTCCTCCTGTGAAGGAAGGATTCATGAAGCTGCTTTGCCTTGGGTCAGGTGAGGTGCGCTTGTACACTGCCTGCACACTGGCACTCAGCTGGGACACCCTCCTCAGGAAAGGCAGGAGGGGTTTATAGAGCAGCAACCTCTTCCCCTGCTCCTGCCTCCTGCAGTGACATGGATCATTAATGGCAGCTGCCATGGGAATGGTGCACTCAAAGGGCAGGAGCACTGCTCCCTGCACTGCTGCCTGCACTGCCAGCAGGCAGGAGCTGACAGCTGGGAGCAAGAAAGGCATTGTGTCCCAGCAGACCCTCCCATGTTGTCCCTGATGTTATGGAGCAGTTCAAGTGCAGAGGTTTTCACTGTCTGCCAAAGAAGGTGGAGATGAGGGATTCTCCATCCTAGCTCTAACACAGCAGGAAAAAGGATCTGTCAGAAACCAATTTTTCTCTCCAAAAAAACAAGCAGCAGGCAGGGCTCTTGTCACATGTCAAAAGAAAAACAGTGAGGAAGTTAAAAATACCTTATCTCCTTTCATATCTAAACTCATCAATATTAGCTCTTACTTTCTTTACAAGCAAATGTTCAAACCTCTACTGAAGCCAAAACGTCAAGCATCCTGAAATATCTGTCTCCAAAAAAAAGCTTGCTGGAAACATTTTTCCATTTTGTGCAACTAAAACCAATATAGATCAGGCAACAAAACTGTCCAGGTCTGGACCAGAAGCTAAGCAGGAGCCTGTGCCCCACAAGGCTTGGCTACCTTGTCAAGTCTCACTCCCAGCCTACCACAATCCAGGAAAACATCATGCATTTCTCAGCTGGCTTCATAAAGCAGAAAGAAGTCTTTCTGACCATTTTTTTTCCCATGGAGTTTAAAATGAAAAAAAAAAAATTAAAGAAGTTGCACCAAATTCTACCCATTTCTTTCCTCTAATTAGAAATACACATTAGTAGGATACTGCCAACCACACGGTATGCTCTTTATGTATACATTATTAATATTTTTGTATTATTTTATATTGTAACTCATACAGTATTTAAAATGTATTATTAACTGAATACTATTTTATGCTTTTTTTGGTCGAGTTTTGACACTAACATACTGGTCATTTTTTTCCACGAAAACTCAGTATTTTAATCTTACAAGGAAAAATGAAGAAACCCAAATATCTCTCTGATAAATGAGACCTGTCAGAAGCCAATGACCCCAGTGCACAGTACACTTTACAATGTGAGCTCAACAACAGTGAAGAAATACTTTTTTCAGCTCACTCTTTTGTGACAAGGGTCTAGATTGCAACCAGTCTCACTGTAATTTATTTCCTGGGAGAAGACTGTGGGAGCTGTATGTGAAAATCATATTTTTTCCATCTTCCATTACTTTCCCATGGAAGCAAGTATTCTATTCTATAACTTATGCAGTAATAATTACACAAACTAAGCTGATTCCAAATGTATGCAATACATATGTTTTATGTGAGCGCTTTCTTTTTCCCTTTTTCCTTTTGAACTAGAACATCAAACACAGAATATACATAACATTTGCTCTGTGTACCGAAACGCATTATTCTCTGTCATATGGATTTTATGTTTGAAGGTCCCAACTGTAGAAAACCTAATAAAGTATATACTCATTTTCATAGTTTAGTCAGTAGGAACACTCACAGCATGTGTGAGTCTTTGCAGAAATAGCAATGGTGTAACTTCAAGTGTAAATGTTACACAAAAATATACTCACCTATAATTACACTACAGTTTCAAATATTCTCTTTTTTCCTAAATAATCTCTCTCAAATAAAAGATTGATCAACCACCCCCAAGATTCTTTGCAGAATCCACATCCCAGCATTATTTCTCAATGTCATACAGGATCAGCTATGGAATTTTAGTGGAAGTGTGCACGCCAACATATAGCACCACCATCTGAGGGCATCTGCATGTATTACCACCCATAGCTTAGTCATGGTTCAAAAGAAGTCAGCTCTGAACTCATTAATTAAAGAATTCAGTTGCACTCCCTAGAGGAGATTTTGAAAGAGAACCAAAAGGTGACTACAGAATGGCTGCTGCTTTTACAATATGCCAAAGATATTTTTGGATTTATTTAGTAGAGTTGAATCTTTACTGAAATTAACAAACTATTGAAAAACTATGTGACTGCACAGGGTTTTAAATGGCAAACCAGTTCAGTTCTAGGGAAACAATGTTCTTATTAATGACATTTTATAGCTTTTCACTCACATTCACACAAGTTCAGAAGTGTACTTGCAGTATCTGCTACATTTTCTAGTCTGTTCATTATTTTACGGACTTTTACAGGGACACCTTTCAATGAACTACAGTATAGGTGCAGAGAGAAACCCACAGATGGTGCTGAGAGCTCAGTTAATTACTACTGGTTACTTTCCTCAATTTGGCAGCTGTTATCACTACAGCATCCAATACTCTCCTCTGTGCTGAGGTGGCATCTGAGGGACCGGAGTGCTCATCTCCTCCTGCTCCAACTTTGGAGCGTGAACATGGTCAGTGTCCCGTGGGTGGAGCAGGGAAGTGATCACTGGCAGCAGTTTCCATCTGACCAACACCCATGACCTTCATCATCCCAACCAATACAAACAGCTTGAAGGCCATGAACATCTAGACTAGCGATCAAGTGCATAGTCATCATCTGTCTGCAATTTCAGCTTGTCTTGGTGGTAATATTTTAAAAATCTAAGCCAAAACAAAACTGCAATACTGTATTTGATCCCTCTCTTGGGATCAAAGGAGAGAAGACACAGAGGCTAAAAGCCCCTGATTCTACCTGGGCAAACTGAAAGGCCTGCGAAGGAAGCCAAGTAATCTTAAGTATTAACTAAAATTTCTTTTTTTCCCTCTAAAATACTCACCTGACTTTCTCTTTGGTGTTTCTAAGAACAGTTGCAGCAAAATTTTGTGTAACACCAACCAGACTGATGCCATCAACTTCCACAATTTGGTCATTCACTTGGATCCTTTCAGGAAAAAACCACAAATGCATAATTAGTTGTACGAATTCTTGAAAATTTCCAGCAAAACTTAGCATAGAGAGATCTTTCTAGTTTGACCTTAAACAAAAGCTCAGCCATAAAATGACTGAGGTAAATATGAAAAACGCATCATTCCTTGCACACAGACATCTCATAAATCCAATTTCCAAGTTACCATTACAGTTAATATCATCGATTAATTATCCAATCTCTTTCCTAGTGTAGAAATACAGCAACACAAACTCTTGAATTTGTCATATGAATTAAATTAAATGAGATACTTGAACAGCTCTTATATCATTCTTTCCTAAGCCAATCTTGAAAAACAGCATAAGACATAGCTCTGGCATTTCATGCTAACGGAAAAAAAAATGTAGCATTTAACTAAAACAACCTGCTCATCTGTGGAACAAAGAACTTAAGGATCAGACCCAATTGTGACATACTATCTTAAGATATTCCATCAAACTTGTTCCAAAAAGAAGAATTCCCAGTGTAAGTGTGATCTTGCTGCGCACAATCGTAAAACCTTGGACTGCCTTAACGAGGACTCTCTTTTTGGAACCAAACACCTATTCACAGCTGATACACTGTTTAAAGCAGAAAAAGTTAAGACAGAATGAAAGCCATGTTGCTTTTATCTAAAGCAAGCACTGCTACAAAATCCCTACAGCAGGCACTGGACTCCTCTGGATTATGAATATCTGGAAAATGACTGCTACACTGTTCTTTAGAAACGCACGATCTCATAACAGTTTCAAAATAAAAACCAAACAAACACATCCAGAACTAGTCAAAGGGAGCAATTTTCAAGTACTTACATGGATTCTATTGATCCAAACAACACAGTTTACAAAGCAACCAAGAAACAGCTATGAAAAAATCCTATTTAAATTACATGAAAATACCTAAATTAATATATTTAACATCTTGGGATATGTTAGTGATAAGATTTCTTTTCAAAAAACAGAGGCTTCAACAGAATGTTGAAGCATTTGGACTTGGAACACTAATTTCTCTGTCAAGTCTGAGGAAATGCTTTGCAGTTTTACACGTGTTCAAGCAGCTTCTTCTGTTCTTTGGATTGCAGTGATGAGTAAGAAATACAGTATTTATTCTTTGGCAGCCTCACACTACAGAATGTCACTGTGTTCTAGGCAGGATCTCCCTTGAAAAAGGCAACCTATAAACTCCTATTTTGAAAATCATTATTAGGCATTTTAAGCTCAGAATTTTATTCCAATTTTCACTGAAACATTTGAGAAATACAGCAATCACATTAATATTTATCTAATTTTGATCTCTCTCTTTTTTATTTTTTTTTTAACTTTAGCAAATACAGGGTGCAGTCAGATGGCACAGGAGTTCCTGGAAAAGAACTTTTTAAGAGTTTGGTGCCTACCGAATGGGAAACTGCCACCCTCTTGGCTGAAAATGGTGGAATAACAGATTCCTTTGAGATGACAGCAACAACACTGTACATCATCACATAGTGGACTAGCAGTGTTCATACAGATACATAGGTACAGGATTTCAGGGGATGAAACATCATCTTAGGGAACTGTTGTCTGCAACTTCATAAACAGCTCTAACTTGATTCAGCCTAATTCTGTTTGTCCTTTAGGCATATTTTGTGTCGCCTTCTTTCTTGTTTGTACAGCTCCTAAACTAACTTCCAACTCTTATTTTTATGGCCACTGCTCTCCAAAACTCCTTCCTTTCTATATATACATATATGTTAATTATATACATGAGCATATATGAATATCAACATACAAAGTGCAGACTTCCCATGAGAGCCCACTCCAGGAGGAGCTCCAGGCCTCCTCTGTCTGTCAAATCTAATTTCAAACACCAATGAAAAATTAGGCTCAGATTGCCAAAGTCTGAATTATAGAAATTGTATTGCATTTAGCATTAATAACATTGATAATTCTTCTGGCAATTATTTTCTAATGTTCATCACTTTAAACGCTGTCTGCAGACAACAATGAAGTAGCAACTACAGAAGCAAACCAATTAAAGTTGAAAAAAATATTTGCACAATTGCTCTGTATGATGAACTGAAAAATTTAATTTGTGCAGAGACATCTTCTAGAGTTCAAGTTAAGAACTATGTAATGTTTCAAAACTGTTACTCCCAATGCTATCAAAATACTTTATAAAGTGAATGACTCATCACCACAATAATCTGAAAGAAGCAGCTATTGATTGATCCAGGAAAAGATTTTATTTTTCATATTCGGTCTAATTTTTCATATTCAGTCTAATGACTGATTTCCTATCTTTCACACTATTAATAACCTCTCCTAACACTTATCACCATGCTTGCCTTTGGATTCACCTTGAAGAACCCTCCTTGGTCAAATACTGGCACACAAAACCTTTAAATATTGTCTTTGGATTCACCTTGAAGAACCCTCCTTGGTTCACAAAACCTTTGTGCCTACTGGCACAAAAAACCTTTGAATACGACAACTAAATGCTACCTTTTGTCTACAACAGCATGAATCAAGCCCGTGGTGTTAAATCACTGAGAAACCCCTTTGCACAGATTTTGTATTTCCATGCGAGACAAGTATTTTACATCATAATTTGATAGGTCTTTCAATAAAAAATAGAACAACTATCCTACATATACTGTAACATTTTAAATTGTAGCTTCAGAAGAACCTGGTTGAAGATTGCTATGCGATTATTCAGAATATCTGATGCAACTACTGAAGTAGTTTTATTTCCTGGTTGGAGACTTTGTTTTGCTATCAGTGTTAATGATTAAATAGGCTTTTCATAAAGATGAAGTTAACAGGACCCTTTACAGTTGATGCACTTCATTATGCAGAACGGTCTGGTCCTGACTGAGAGGATTATATATCCCTTTCCCAAGTGAATGATCAGTCAGGCTCTCAAAGAGAAAATCAGAGTCCTATTTCTCAGCTGACTGAACATTCTGCCAGTTGAAAACCAACACAAATATTAGAATGGTCAAAGAATGATATTATTTTTTCTCAGCTGACAAGCTCCTTTCAGATGCCATCTAGGGAAATGAAAGAAGAGACTTGTGATGGAACATTAACTTCTGTAGCCCACTCAAACATGTGAATAATGAGATGAAAAGAAATTACAGATCATGACAGAGCAGCAGTGAGTGACTGATTTTCAACCAGAGAATTTTACAAAGAATACCAGTCGTGAGCTTAATGCCTTCTAGCTGAGGTCAAGCATACCCCTCAGAAAAACATCACTTAAAGTAATAGATAAAGTCATGACATCTTGAAGTGTCAGCTTAATTTCCTTTCATAATATTTAAGCTTATGATAAATCAGTACTTGGCCTTCAACTTGATATCTTATTGCCAAGATCTGGAAAGACACCTCCAAGCCCAATCTAGGAGACGATACAGTTCAGCAGTTTCAAAGCAACGTTACTAACCTTTGCAACCCTCTGCCTTCTGGAGTCTTTTGCTTAAATTTTTGTGTGGTTTCCAATGCAGAAAAATTTTTTGCCTGGCTGAGAAGTTAGAGGTGTTCAACAAGGAACATGCTACTGCAATGTATTTTTTAGAAGACATCATCAACATCTTAAGAGTTTATTCCCACTGTTATTTATAAAACAATATTTTCATATTGTTTATGACTAATGTAACAACACATTAATGGTTAAAATCAGAAGAGGAGAATGCAGATAAGTTGATATAATTGCTTACATATCAGAGAAGTAATATTTTATTGGCACGAAAATTTACAAAGTTAAGCACTGGGACAAAATGAAAAATTGTACAGGTTAGAAGATTTTTAAGAATCCTTTTCATTATTAAATGATTACAGAATAAAGTTTCTTCCTATCTCCTAATGAGAAGAGGTTGACTTGATTTTGACAAGTATTGTATAGCACACAGATTTGCAGTGTTGTATAATACAAAGATCTGTGTATTATATTATCTGTGTGTTATACACATCTGTGTATAATACACACATAACTGTGCCCCATATGATATGAAATATTTTATGTTGAAAAGGAATTCTTTAGCTTGCACATACCAAATAAGCAAATCTAGAAGCAAGCAGATTTTATAGGAGCACATAGGACTACACACACCAATTCACCTCTTTAGTGGGCAAGGTTCATCATACAGCTTCCTATTCCAATTAATTAATGTACTTTCAGTGCTGTAGGTGTGAAAACTGAACTCCAGAATAGAAGACTATCCAAAATAAGAAATATAAAGTAACAGTCTGTGTTAGTAAAGTTGAAAGGAGTATATTTAGTAAAAGTTTAAACATTCAGATACACTAATTATTTCGTTAATCACGGAATAATCAAGGTTGGAAAAGATCTTCCAAGACCATCTAGTTCAGCCATCAGCTAAGCAGCTCAACCACTCCTAAACCACATCCCAAGTGCCACATCCAGATGCCTCTTCAACACTTCCAGAGACAGTGACTCCACCACCTTTCTGGGCAACTTATTCCAATCCCTTTTTCATCGGAAAAAAGCTCTAATATTTAATCTGAATCTCACCTGACAGAACTTAAGGCCATTTCCTCGCACCCTTTCACTAGAAACACGTCTGAAGAGACTGACCCCCACCTGGTACAACGTCCTTTTTTCAGTCACTGTGGAGATGATAAGGTCACCCCCAAGCCTCCTTTTCTGCAGGTTAAACACCCCCAGCTCCCTCAGATGCTCCTCGTAAGACTTGTGCTCCCGACCCTTCACCAGCTTTGTTCCCCTTCTCTGGTGACACTCCACACCTCAGTGTCTTTCTTGCAGCGGAAGGCCCAGAGCTGGGAACAGCACCCCAGGTGGCCTCACCAGTGCCAAGTACAGGGGGACAGTCACTGCCTGGGTGCTGCTGGATACACTGCTGCTGGTCCAGGCCAGGATGCCTTTGCCTTTCTTGGCCACCTGGGCACGTACTGGCTGATATCCAGATGCCTGTAAAGCAGCACCCCAAGTCCTTTTCTGCTGAGCAGCTCTCAAGCTGCTCCTCCCCCAGCCTGCAGCCCTGCCTGGGGCTGCTGTGACCCCAGTGCAGGACCTGGCCCTGTGCCTTAGTGAACCTCATGCAGCTGTCCTCAGCCCAACCTGTCAAGATCTCTTTCTAAGGATATAATATGCTCAGAGACCAAATAATACAATGTTGAACTGAATTATTTTTTCAAGTATTGCCTATCTAAAGCTGGCTTGAAGCCAATAGAACAGGTGGGAGCTCAACACCTTAAGAATCAAAACTACCTTCAAAAGTGACACAGAGTTTGGAATCAGCAGCCTTACTCATGCTAAAGCAGCTGGGTTCTCAGTAGTCACATATCTTTGGCAAATTTGCTCTTCTTTAAAAGTTTAAACTCATGACAGCCTTACTCATGCTAAAGCAGCTGGGTTCTCAGTAGTCGCAAACACATATTTGGCAAATTTGTTCTTCTTTAAAACTCATGGTACCAATTTAGTGTCTTCTCATAACCACATCAGGTATTTAGACCTTACCAATGAAGTTGACAAACTTTACAGCTTGGATTACCGTGACATATGTTAAGCAAACAACTATTTCCTATGAAAATCATAATTTATAGTAACTATTGCTGATAAAATTTCCAAATACGAAGTCTAGTTTACCTGCCATCTCTTTCTGCTGTCCCACCCTCTGTTACTGTTTTGACAAATATTCCCAGTTTTTCAAGGCCTGCATCAGCTCCAACTCCCATTCCAATAATGCTTATGCCAAGTCCATCTTCATCTGTGAAAGAGGTAAGAGAAAGCAGAAAATTCTTACATTTATCTGTACAATTATTTGGTAGGTAAATATTCATGCTTTGGTTCCTCTTGGCTTTCTGTGTCAATAACACTAATATTATTTTGCTCCCTTTAAAAAAACTATTTGACTACCATTTTAATTACACAAAAAAGTATCATCTGCAGCCTTATGAGGAGCTTAGAACAACAGACAAGATTTTTACTCCTCCAGTGAAGAATGAACATATCACATCAAACACTGTGTAAAATCATGTTAATGGAGTGTCACCAAGCAATTCGCTTAAGAAGATAAAAACTGCCTGTCTCTGAGCTGCTTCTTTAATTCCACACTGAACAACTCCTGAAATCCAAAAATCCAAAAAGCCAAGGTGACCACAACCAATTCATGGAAATTCAAGATAGGCTCTGTAGGCATGTGCAGACTTCCTCAAACTTGTAGGTCAGTGTCACAGGAAGTGGAAATGACACACAGACATGATACCTTTTTCTAGTTCAACTGGGAAGAGCTCCAACTTTTCCACACGCTTCTCAAGTTCATATTCAGCTGATGCAGCCACTGGGTCAACTTCATCATTTCTCCTGTCATAGTCTTCATTAGAGTATGTATTGAAAACCTGTGGAAATAGATCAAAAATCATTCAGCTACCCACTCCAAAAAGACTTCCAAATTATTAAATTAGCTACTATTTTTGTCTTGTGATATTGCAAAGTTTGAAAAGGCTTTTAAAAGACAAATTTCTTCTGCTCATTCAAACTTCAGGTTTTTAAATTTGTGTTTTTTTATTCAAGGAAGCACAAGTACGGTTGCAAAAGTCAACTGAGTGTAAGTTTCTATTGCTTTTGATTATAAATTCAAAAGGTGATCCTTAATGTCTACGTTGGTCTATGCATATAAATAATTAAAATACTTAACTCATTAAAAATTCACTATTAATAAACATTAACAGAGTCAAATACATTGAAATTATAATCTGTATAGTGCTTCTGTATTAGTCTTTAGGCCTTATGAAGTTCCAGTTCCCATTCATCCAAACAAAGCTTGACCTGAAGATTACTAACCTACATTTACCTCACCTATGAATATCATGGATATTATGTTCCATATTATGTATTAACTTTTTTAGAACAGCAATGTACACAGCCATTGGTATTTTTTAAACTAACCAGGTTTAGAGGTTTATTTCTTCTCTAGAGCAGTAATTTAACAGTCACTGCACTAACCTCATTATATTATTTATGCTACTTACTATCATACTTTCAACATGGCCTTCAACCAGTGATTATTCAGACCTTCAGAAACATTAGTCAGGAAAAGCATATTTTCATATTTTAGAGATCAGAGTTTGCCAGCCTAATTCATTAAACTGTCTGCACTTGGCAGTAAGGAAAGAATATGTATTACTAGTGGTAATAGTTTTACTAAGCTTCAGTCCCATTGATTTATCATATTCATCACTTCAAATAAAGGAAAACAACTTCCCACATTTCCTCTTCCTCTTTTACAGACAACCCACAGAAGACATCACTGCGTAGCCACATTTTCCTTTATCACTGTTCGTCTTACAATATAAAACACTGCACCCGTCTACATAGCTACACAAATATTCCAAAGTTCTCCAGAAGCCTGCTCTTTTACAGCCCTGCTTGGAGGCTCTCTCACCATGTCCCTAGATGGAGCACACATGCCAGCTGGCTGCCCAGTGCAGTGACAGGAGCTGGGTCATTGCCACCTGAGGTTTCACCTGCCTGAAAAGCTGTTTGTACACACTCATTTCTTTTAAACAGTAAATGTATTAAAGTTGAAATACAAAAATACTTTGAAATACTACTGTAAGTCTATTAACTATGTTATTGCTACCATAAAGCTACCAAAAAGCCCTCTCAATTTTACATGAAGTAGTGGTTCTAACAGAAAAGACAGTAGTGACTCAATGAAAATTTCAATACCCACTGATGTGGGTATTTCACATCAATGTGAAACACTTAATTTCTCTTCCAAGAAGACTGAGATGATAAACGTTTTACAAGAATTCACAAACCTATCTCATATGGATTTTTAGTCATTATGATGCAAGAAAAAGACTGCTTTAACTAAATGATGCTCCTAGAAAGGCTTCATAAATACATGCAAAGCATAAGTAAAATAAGACACATAATGCTGGCCAGTGCTGCTGAACGTTTTATGCTGCTTCTGTATCTGTAAGATTGGAGAAAAGACACAGATTGAGAAACAAGTAATGCAATTCAAGGCCACAATCTCTAGCCTGACTAAAGAATAGATAAAAACAGGTGGACGAGTCCATTCAACAGCAATCAAAAAGTGGGTACAACTTCCCTGGCAGCTTCCCTTCTCTGTGATTTGGTGTCAAAGGCAGCAGCTTTTAATCACTAAGGGTTCCAGGCTCAAGCCCAACCTCATTCCTGCTGAAATCAACCAAAAAAAGGATCAATCAATAGAGTGCAACCCAACTAAAACATTACTGAGCTAAGTTTTGACCATAACCTTTAAGTTTGAAATGCAGCAAACATGTAAATAAGTAGAGGTTAAAAACAACAGCTGTGAATTTAGCTTGAATCATCTCATTTATTAACATGATGAAAGAGAACTGTGCCTCAAATGCAAACAGAGATGAACTGCATGAAGGTAAAGGAAGATACTGCTTGCTGGAGACAAAGAACAGCTGAGAGAGAGCTATAAGGGAAAATTATGTCACAAAATGAGTATATCTATTTCTGGATTTCTTTTCATCATATTAACTGGCACCATTCTTTTCCTTGTGTTCAATGACTGGTATGAGAATATTGTGGAAGCAGTTTTAGATTTGTTGCAAAATGACTGGATATGCTTCAGGATAATTTTCTTTGAATGCATATACTGAGTTCAGGTTTGGGATGATCTTTCTTGAATCAGATTGAACAGAAGATACAGCTTCTTGGATTGTGTTCACTATTTTGGAGTATTTTAATAATCCCACTAAAAGGAAAATAAATATACTGTTGGTAATCAAAAGTTATAATTATGTCTCCAAATACACCATGCCACTCTTATCTAGTACCTCACCTAAGCATTCTCTCTGAGATTGTAGATCCCTGATTGCACAAAGCTCTGTGTTTCCTACCTGGCATTAACTCACTGTCTTTTGTACACTGGTCATATAACTTTGCCCACTGCCTTCAACAAGGCAGTTGTCTCCCCCTGAAAAGGGGAAGAAGAAGAAGGATATTCTTGGATGTCATTTATCTCATTTTGTGCAATCACATTTCATAGTTGACTGATTCTATTAAATGAATCTCTGGGTGTTAAATTGAAGTAAAGAAAATTTATGCCTGGATATTTTCTTTCTTTGTGCAACAGTCTATCCACCAGAGTAATGAACTGCTTGCTCAGTACAGTCATGAGAACTGTCACTCAAGATTTTACTGCACTAAAAATAAGATAAACATTTATAACTTCTTCCTCACAGTATGGTTAACTTGATTTAAGTAGAACTATTTCACCACGTCTGCTGCAGAGTGTGCGTGGGATTTCAGACTCACGGGAATTCTCCCAATCCCTGTCATTTGACAGATTTGGTGTTACTGCCACTCTGGCCAAATAGCCAGAACAGAAAAGTCACAACTATATGTGAATATGAATATCCTGAGCTGGAAAGGACCCACAAGGTTCATAAGAGTCCAACTCTGGGCCCTGTATAGGACCATCCCCAAGAGTCACATCACAAACCATTACTTAAAAAGCAAGCTCTTTTCCCAATATATCCAATACAGTACCTTAGTCTCTGATCACTACAAGTATTTAGGGAAAAAGAAGTTTTCATGGAATTCACTTGTGACATTTTCTAGGATTTAAAACAGCACTTGTGGAAAACAAAAAGCCAAGAGTGGTGACACATTGAAACAAGCCCTGAAGAGCTGCTGTTAATAGAACATACTTCTGTGTTCTCTGAAGTGACAGAAAAAGGGGTCACCACAGTGATTCATCCAGCACCAATATAGCAACAAACTGTAATATCAAAGAAGCAGGTATAATTGTTAGGCACCCTGGGTGGCATCCCCAGGGAAATCACACATACACACACAGGTCATTTGCTTCTCTTTGGCAGAGCATAAGCTAGAAAAGACATGTCACTAACTATAAAAACACACTGCTGACTAATTCAGAAAAAAACCCTACATTTTTGTTTTAGTACTTCAGCTTTAGGAGTAAGATCAGAAGGATAAAAACTGGTTATTCTTGAAAAAAGGCAAAGTTGCCTAAGTTTGGGGTGTTTTCCCATAGCTCTTACCTACCAATAATTTACATAATTTAGCTAACAGTAACCAGTAGGTAGTGACAAGGGTTTTTTTTATTTTTTTAAGCAAGTCAGAATGGGGATAACTCTAAAGAACCACATGGGCTAACCAGCTTGGTGCTACATAAACCACAATTAGTGTTGCATACTATAAACTGTGCAACATAAAAATTGCCATATCCGATGTAAGGCTGAGAGAATTGGGGATGTTCAGCCTGGAAAAGAGAAGGCTTAGGGGTGACACAGCTGCAGCCTCCAATACCTGAAGGGAACATACAAAAAAAGATGGAGAGAGACTATTTACAAGAGCAGGTAGTGACAGGACAAGGGGGAAGAGATTCAAACTGCAAGGCAGCAGATTTAGATTACCTATAATGAAGCACTGAGGATAACCCCTCTGGCTGTGTTGAAGAAGCTAAATGAGGAAAAGAAATCATAATTTGACCATTACCTTCTGCTTTAAAATCTTTCTACAGCATAGCTTTGGGGAGGAGAGGAAGCTCTGGCAATGTGCAAAATTGGTGATTATTTTTTTAAGAAGTTTTTTCTCTGCAAAGGGGTTGCTTTGTCACAGTGAAAAGCAGTGAGTCAGTGAGGAGGCTTCTTCCAGCTCTCCTGGCTTCATGCTCCCCTACAGCCTGTGTGGACATCAGCCATCACTAATGCTTCAGCAAGGAAGCACCCAGGAGACAAATCCTCCCAAGAAGCAATTGCAGGAATGAGACACAGATGGGAATTAGACATCAGCAATATTGAAGGAAACTGCATGTGAAACATCAAATCCATGCCTGGGGTTTCCCTCAGAAAGCTCTTTAAGAGAAAGATCTGTTTTAAGTGTCCTGAAACTCTGTAAAAGAGACCTGTGCAACAGATTTATGTTTCTAAAATCCTAGAAGTATCTGGGTCCCAGACTTCTCCATTCCAGAGAGACCTCTTCACACATATATGACAAGCCAGGAGCAGCTGCCATGACACACAGACAAAATATTCAATTTGTTGAGGCAAACTGGAAAATATTATCTCTGTATATTCTTGTTTTAGACAACTGGAACAAGTTATCAAGTTTTCTACCTGTTGGAACATCACGAAGACCATCTGTATTAGAAAACCACAGTGTCACTGTCCTACAGCAGTGCCAACACATCTCGTTTTGGATCCATACAGCTCTGTGCACTACAGCATGTCCTCCTAAACCCAAACCGTGCCTCAGTGGCATTTCCTGGGGGGACACAAGCATTAAAATGCATGGGCTAACCACACACATTCATGAGTCCTGTGCCAGGAGGATGCATTTACTTCATGTTACAAGTAGTTAAAGAACC